CTCTGAGCTGCCTCGCCTGGCTCTTGCCCCTTCTGCACCCCCTTCCCCACCCCCCAGGGCTGCCCGATGCCATGGGATGTGGGCCCTACTTACAAAGGAGACCACGGCAGCCAGCAGCAGGATGCGCACCAGAAGGTCCTCGAACTGCTCCAGCACCAGCTCCCACAGGGACTTCCCTGGGAGAGGGAACTCTGCATGAGGCCTGGGCCCCAGACCGACTCCTGCCCCCATTTAGGGCTGGGTCAGCCTCAGAAACCACCCGGCCCGTTCCCTCCCTACTCTTCAAAGAGGGAGATCCCAAGGCCCTGAGAGGCGCAGGTGGGCGATGCTGGGGGACTCAGCAGGTCCTCACTCTGTCACAGAGGAGAGGACACAGTCTGACAGATAACGGCCCAAGGACGTCACCTAGTGGCCTCACAGCCCACCCTGGCCCAAGCCTCACCTTCCTCGGTTGGGAGCTCTGCGGGATCCAGCAGCCACAGGAGCCATGAGGAGACAAAAGACAACTGGGTTATGCAGTGGGGCCTTGGAGGGGTCTGAGCAGCTCCTCCCCATTGTGCACACGCAGACCCCCACAATGGTCTAGCCATGTCCCCACAGCTCTCTGAGGTCACAGAATGGACCCCCCCGCAGCAAGGTATCCTCTCCTTCAAATTTTGAACCTTGGCTCGGGCTGCCTCTGACATACCTGCTCCTCCAGGACCACTGGAACAAGGCAGCACAGCCAGCCCCCGGAGCCCCACTCTACCCGGTGGCTTCCCCTGACACGACCCCAGCAGCAGCCAGCATCCCAGGCAGTGAGGACCCCTGCATGGTTCAGCTTCTAGAGGCTAAGTCTCAACTTGTCCCCTCCCAGGCCCTGCATTCTACGTCAGCTCGGTGAAGACCCACTCCGTGCACCCAGTACCACCCAGACCCACAGACCAATTTGAAGAACAGTGTTTTCAAACACCACCAGGACCTGCTGTCACTTTGCGGACTCCATCTTTATCTCCTACGTTTCCTGAAGCATTTTTTGTTCCTGGAGGAGCTGGCTGCCTCGGTACCTGAAGTCTTTGACTCCTCCTAACAGCCTATAGGGGAGGCAGGGCAGGAATTCCTGCTATTTCACAGGTGTAAGAACTGAGGTTCAGAGTGGGGAAGCAGCTTGAACTAGGTCACACAGCAAGTAGGTGTCCATGTGGGTCTGTGGGAAGGGGTGGGGACTGGGATGAAAAGAGTGGACTCCAATGGGCTTCTCCCTCCAACGGGCAAGCACAGGCCCTGCTAAGGCCTGTCTGAGGCTCCTCCCTGACCCTGCCTAAGCGAGCCCTTCTTGTCCCTTGCTCCTGAGGACTCCAGGCCAGCAGCACTGGCATCACTCAGGATCTTGTTCAGACTCTGAGGCCCCACCCCAGGCTGACTCTCTCATCTTCCTCCTCCTTTATGACACAGGTCCTTGCATCATCCACCTGTTCTAGGCTTGAGTACCCACAATCAGTTTTTCCCGTGGGAGCCCTCTCCAGACCACCTGTTCAGAAGGTCTGGGGTCTGCACCTGGCAGCTGAACCATGGAGAGTATCGAGCGGCCATTGGACTGCAGGAATCCAGGAGGGAAACATATAACCTAAAAATACACTTTCTAGCATTTTCTCCAAAGTCCTATTTTAGGCAACGGTTGACATTTTCCGTGGAAAATGTAATCTCCAGTGTCCTGCGTTGAGATTAAAATCAAACAGACTTTTTCCTTCTGATCTATTTAGCTGAAGCGAACAGGAAAGGTGGGGGGAGGGCCAGGCCTGATTTCTGGGCCAATTCTCCGATGGAGTAGGGTCCTCCAGAGGTCATCTCAGCCATGCCCCAGCCTTGGCACAGAACAGTGCCAACCTGTGGGCTACATCAGCCTGCTTCTGCTGAGCTCTACCCAGGAAACTCCTAAACCCTTCCCCTCTGCAGGTATCGTTAGAGTTCCAGATCAAAAGAAGAGTTTATGTGTAAGTCCCACTTGAACCCCACCTGCTGTCTCCCTCACCTCTCCATAAGGCACGCAGCCCCCAGGCCTCTGTACTACTTAGGGCATTCTCTCTGGGCAAGGGCGAGGCTGGGGGTTGAGACACGTGTTATGAGACACACATACGAGCTGCAGTCCCCCCAAGCTGCGCTCTGCCTGCCTCAGCCGGTCTCTCCAATTCTCCTTTCTCTATCCTTCCACCTAGGTCTCCCATTCTGCTCTCCGACCCACAGGCAGACCTCAGAATCTACTCTTTGGTGGCCATTATGCTGTTCCCCAAATATAGCAGGTCCTTGAATAACATCGTTCTGTTCAATGCCGTTTCTTTATAACGTTGATGAATGCCATAGGAACTTCACTCCTGTTTATTTTAATTAGCCTGTGATAAAACTGATTTTGTTATATGTAGTTCTGTTGCAGTTCCAAGAACCTATCGACGACATTAAGTAAGAACTTACTGTACTTCTGATTCTCGCCACCCGTGGGCACATAGTAGGACTCCCTTTCCCAGCCCCTATGTGAGTTGTGAAAAGGACATGCATTAGTTCCGGCTGGGGCACTGAACTGCTGGTGGGAGACTCACCAGAGGGTGTCATCCAATAGACCTTTCTGTGATGATGGTAGTGTTCTAGAGATGCACTGTCCGATACAGGAACGACTAGCCACATGTAGCTACTGAGCACTGGGCATGTGACTAGTGTGACCAAGTAGCTAAATTTTAAATTTTATTTAATTTTTATTCATTTAAATTTAAATAGCTCCATGAGGTTGGTGGCTGCTGTTTTGGACAGCGCAGGTCTGGAGCTCTTTGTCCCTCTGCTACGGTAACCTGTGAGAAGGTGTCTGCTCTGTGAACCTGAGTCACAGAGTTTGGGAGACACAGAGCCCTCAGATGACCTGCCACTGACATACATATATATAGTGTGAGAGAGAAATTACCTCTATTGTTTTAAGCCATTGAGATCCGGGAGTTGTTACTGCAGCATAACCTAGTTGATTCTGACTGATAGAACCTTCTCCCCAGACATGGCTTCTACAATAGGGCTCCTCTTCCACCCCCACCACTGTCCCCAGGGGAGGCTCAGCCAGCCATGAGGTCACAGCAGATGCCCTGCCCATCCTGCACATGCATATGCATGTGCTTCCGGTCTCATCTGAGCAGCTGTCTCCCTGTGGGGCTCTGAGCCTCATTTGGAAGATGAAGTAGCCACCCTCACCCTGAAAGGCTACTGTGGGGATTATCATTAATATTAATAATATTTACTGAGCACCTATTATGTACCAAGCAGTGTGCCAGGTACTTTACCTCTGTTATTTCCCAAGATAAAAGGGAAGGTGTTGTATCCTGAGCACGTAAGACATTCTAAAATAGAATTACAGCAGAACGATTAGTGTTGAGTGTGCCAGACGCTATGCTAACTCCTCATGCGCATTACTCTCTTGCAATTTGCAAACAACCTGAGAAGGAAGATACAATTCTTATTCCCATTTTATAGAGTAGACAACTGAAGTCCAGAGAGGTTGGGTGACTAGTTCATGGTCACACAGCTGGGAAGTGAAAGTGATAGGACGTGTTTTGAGCTCAGGCAGTCTGGCTCTCAAGCCCCTGCTCAGGACCTCCTGCACTAACTCCTAGACTGTCCTGCCTTCTCAACCCAGTCTCTTTTCCTCCCCCAGCCCAGGACACCTGAAAATAACTTGGTGTCCCATGTCTGATTGTTGGGCTGGATACCCTCATCCCATCAACTGGCTCATCCCTCTATTGTGGCACCAAAGCCACCAACCAAAATCATCCCTGTTCAAAGGCTCTGCTGTCCTCACAGGGGACATTTTGGGGTTACTAGTCTCTGCTCAGGCCTGGTCTGCTTCAAACTCCAATCCTGCCAAAACCCAGAACGACCCAATCTCCTCTCACATGACTGAGTCCCAGGGCCACAGAGGGAGCCTAGAGGCTAGGAGAGCACCCTCTCAGTCCCTCCCTAGGCACCCTGCAAGATGCCTGGTTCCCCCTTGTTCCAGCCTTGTCAGGCTTCATGTGGGGGTGCTAAGCCAGTTCCTCTCGAAATGGCGGCATTGAGCCCTCGATAGTGCCTGATGCCCATTTATTCAATGGGGAGAATGCCCCGCCCTGCCCACGTCTTGGTGCTGTCCACGAGTTGCACAAGCAAAGGCAGTAATAGGAGGTGCTGCTCCCTCCCATGCAACACACACTGTTCTGGAATAGTAGACCTCTGGCCCTCCCACACAATGGCCTCTCCCAGCCAACCCCTGCTCTGGGTCACTGTTGCCAGACTGAGCTGGCCCATGCCCACAGGTGCCTGATGTAGGGCTGGCCTAGTGGGGCCTGGGAGTTAGCCTGTGCATCCTTTGGGGCAAAAGGGGATGTGATCAGAGAAGCTTCATGGCCTAGAGCAAGGAGTTCAAATCCTGTTCTATCACTTGGTAGTTCTGTGACCACTCCCTTTGTGCCTCAGTTTCCCTATCTGCATAATGGGGATAATCACAGCGGCTACCTCATAAGGTTGGCGTGAAGATTAAATGACATGCTATGCATAAAACGCAGAATATGCACAGCATGTAGTAAATGCTCTATAAACATTAGCTGTACTAATAGTTATCAGAACATAAGCTCAACGACAGTAGGACTTTGTTAAGTGCAATGTCCCCAGCACCTGGAACAATGCCTGGTACACAGTAGGTGCTCAATAAAAATCTACGAATGAATGAATGACCCTGCCACTGCTAGGCTCACAGACTCTCAGTGGCTCTCCTTGGCCTGCAGAATAAAGACCAACCTTAGCATGGCTTTCAAGGCCTTCCTGGATCTGCCCCAGCCTGCTCTTCTGGAATCACAGACATACGTCTATCCATCTGCCAGCCAAGCAAGACACCTCAGGACTGCCACCAGCTCCTCTGGTTTTGCTAACGCTTTTCCCCCTCCCAGATTTTGCTTGGGCCATTCCTTCCGTGCAGGGTACCTTTCCCCATTTCTTCATCTAAACCCCAGCCTCCCAAGAAGACTTCCTGTTAAAGCCCCCTCCCTTTCTCTCACCAGTCATCAGTATGGGAGCTGCCCCACCTGATGGCGGGGAGGGGCTGAGTCACCCTGAATCCACACAGAGTTTCTCAGAATTGTTTACTCAGTTGCCCCACAATTCAGGCCAGGGCCCTAGGCCCATAGCCCAGAGGCCAAGAGAAGGAGGGTACAGGGTCAGGGCTGCCCCCAGGGCCCTAAGCACCACCTGCTCCCCTAATTCCCTGCTCTTGACTCCTTCCTTCTCACAACATGTTATTTTGCCTTCTAAATGTCAGTTCCAGCCAGGAGAGGCAAGTGCTTACCAAGGTCTTCCTCAAAGGTAAATTTACAGAGCAATTAAATTGTCACTTGCAGACTAAGGGAGAGGCCCAGGCTGGGCAGACCCACCCAGCCCACCTGGCCCAGCTCAGGTCTCCAGGACCCACCTAGAGTGGACAA